TAAGCCCATACTTATTTTGTGTCCGTGAGCAAATTAGTCTTTTTTGCATTTTTCATCTGGAAATGGAGATAATAATAATGCCTACCTTTTATAGTTCTTGTGGGGATTAACTATAATGTTTATAAAATCCTTAGCAAATTGCCTGGTACACAGTAAATGTTCAAGTGACAGCTAATAATATGGTTAATAACACTGTGTGACTGCTTCTTATGAATATGTCCTGTGTTGGCATATGACACTGTTCACACAAAAACTTGTTCAGGAACGTTCATAGCAGCATTATTCATAATAACCCCAAAATAGAAACATCCTAAATGTCCATTAATTGAGGACTGGATAAGCAAAATATGGTATATCCATATAGTAGAATATTATTCAACCACAAAAAGGAATGAATTAATGGTACATGCTGTAACATGGATGAACCTCTAAAACATACAAAGTGAAAGAAGCCAGACATGGGCACCTGGGTGACTCAGTTGGTTAAGTTAGGGGGAGACAAACCTTGAGAGACTGACCTCTGAGAAACAAACTGAGGGTTTTGGAGGGGAGGGGAGTGGGGGGATGGGTGACCCTGGTAGTGGGTATTAAGCAGGGCACATATTGCATGGAACACTGGGTGTGGTACATAAACAATGAATTTTGGAATACACAAACAATTAAAAAAAAAAGTTTCTGGCTCTTGATCTGAGGGTTCTGAGTTCAAACCCTGTGTTGGGCTCCATGCTGAGTGTAGAGCCCACTTAAAAAAAAAAAAGAAAAAGAAAAAAGAAAGAAGCCAGATATAAAAGGCACATATTGTATGATTCCATTTATGTGAAATGTCCAGAATAGACAAATACGGAGATGTGGTTTCATTTCTTTTGTGGTAATTACTACAGTTATGTAAGTATTGAGGGGTTTTTGTTTTTATTTTTTCAAGTAAGCTCTACATTTAATGTGGGGCTTGAACTCATGACCCCAAGATTAAGAATCATGTGTTCTCCCACTGTGCCAGGTGCCCTGAGGTTTTTTGTTTGTTTGTTTGGTTTTTAAATAAAAGTAGAGGGCCATCTGGGTGGCTCAGTAGTTAAGGGTCTGCCTTGGGCTCAGGTCATGATCCCAGGATCCCAGGGTCCCGGGATCGAGCCTCGAATCAGGCTCCCTGCTCAGTGGGAAGCCTACTTCATCCTCTTCCACTCCCCCTGCTTGTATTTCCTCTCTCACTGTGTCTTCTCTCTCTGTCGAATAAATAAATAAAAATCTTTAAAAAACAAAGTAGAAAATTCATCTTTGTTTCTTATCTGTAAGAGAGACTAACCTCCTAGCACTAATTGTTGGTTCCTTTTATCTAGGCCAAGGACTTTTTACCTTAAAGACCCTTTTCGAGGAAATGACTTTTAGTCTAATCTCTGTAAAGTATAACCTTGGGTATCTTCTCAGTGTGTAGTCCCAGGAATTTGGGGCAACTTTTTAGGAATCTGCTCCATGTGGCTAACTGTAGTACAGTGAACAGTTTTTCATGTAATATAATGACTAATATAAAAACTTCATTTATTCTATACTAAAAAAATCCTTTGTAATATACATAGCATTGGTTTTAAACGATTTCTGTTAGATTCTTTCACCCAAATCTAATCAGAACCAAACAATAAATATTTGACTATATATTTACCCTTAAGCTATTTGATTTTTACTTCAGCTGAAAGATGCATCACTTTGCTTTCTCTTTCTTTTAGTTCCTATTACCTATGGAATAAATTTCATGCTGAAATAGTAAAACCTTAATAGTTTAGATGACAGGTGTATTGGAAGAAGACCAATCCAAATTATAGAAATAATTATAGAAATAACTTATAGTTATCACTGTATTTTTTACACTTGTTACATTTCTTTTTCTCTATGTCACTCATCATACTGAAATACTATATATTATATTAAAAGCAGTAGTTTGAAATTAATTTTTAATAATTTCTAGAGACTTCCAAACATTTTTAAATTTTAGAGATCAGTAGTGGGAAATTTGGGGGGTTAAAAAGTCTAGACATATTGGATTTTTTTTTTATTGTGTAATATTATAGACATGCAGAAAATATAGAGCAGGCTAATGAGTATCATGATCCCATCACTTAGCTGTTTCACATCTTAACATTTTGCTGTATTTGCCCAGGGTTTTTTTCAGTTTCAGTTTTCATTATGAAAATTTGTTAATACAAAGAAAAGTTGAGAGAATAGAACAATACTTACCAATAATCCAAATCTAAATTCAACAATTAATATTTTATTATATCTGCTTTAGTATATATTTTTGCTAAATTATTTGAAAGTAGTTTTTTAAAAAGATTTATTTATTTATTTGAGAGAAAGTACACATGCTCATACAGGGAAGAGGGAGAGAGGGAGAGGAAATCCCAAGCAGACTCTGCACCAAACTTGGAGCCTGACTCAGGGCTTGATCTCATGATCCTGAGGTTACAACCCAAACTAAAACCAAGAGTTGGACGCTTAATTGACAGTGCCACCCAGGTGCCCCAAAAGTAGATTTCTGAATATCATGACAGTCCTAATATGAATATTCACATAGATAACCATAATTCCATAATTATGACAATTCTATTATCATACCTATGGAAATTAATGGTAATTAATAATTACCATTGTTATATAATTTTCTGATTTCTTTTTTTTTTTTTTAAAGATTTTATTTATTTATTTGACAGAGAGAAATCACAAGTAGGCAGAGAAGCAGGCAGAGAGAGAGGAGGAAGCAGGCTCCCCGCTGAGCAGAAAGCCCGATGTGGGGCTCGAACCCAGGACCTGGGATCATGACCTGAGCCGAAGGCAGCGGCTTAACCCACTGAGCCACCCAGGCGCCCCAGTTTTCTGATTTCTTGATTGTCCTTGAAAGTCTTCAGTAGCTTTATTTTTATTTTATTTTATTTTATATATTTATTTATTTATTTGCCAGAGAGAGAGGGAAGGAGGGAGAGGGCAAGGATGACCAGAGGAGTGGCAGTCAGAGTTAGGAGCAGGCTCCCTGCTGAGGAGGGAGCCCAATGTGAGGCTGATGTGGGGCTCAGGACCCTGGGATCATGACCTGAGCTGAAAGCAGACACTTAATGACTGACCCACCCAGGCATCCATTAAGTAGCTTTTTAAAAAAAAAATTATTTAACCCAGAATTCAATCAAGGATCATGCATCATGTTTGGCTGTAATGTTTCTTAAATCTCTTTTAATCCAGAACAGTCTTTTCTCCATACCATTGGTTTATTTGGAAGAGTAATGTTATTGAGTAGAATTAATAAACAGATTTACATTCTGGATTTGTATGTTTTCTTTTGGTAGTATTTAACTTGTTACCCTGTCCTTTATAGTTCTTGTAAATTGGAAGATTTAAAGCTGCATTAGAGCTAGCATAAACATTTTTGGTAAGAAAATGTTTTATAGATGATGTCTGTATATTTTATATTGCATTGAAGCAGAAGACATACAATGTTGATCTATCCTATAATGAGTGATTTTAAGTTAAATTACTTGGAAAGGTCATACTGCCAGATCCCTACAGTGAAAAGGTATCTTTTCTTCTGTAAATCGTTAATTTGCTGGATGATACTTTGGCACCCTGTGAATGACCTGTTCTAAGAGGATAGTGTTGGAAATTTTTCACCTACAACTTATCTTTTCATTCTTCAATTTAAAGATTTTGGTGAGGGGAGGGTAAGGTTTTTTTCTACATTAGATAAGTTATTTTGGGAAAATGTCTAGTGTCAGAACTCAAATGCAAATGAGTAACAGGGTGCCCATTTCCATCTTAAATTGGTAGAAATTAAAGTTGAGGTTACAGAATATTCTCGGGGAGATGGGAAGCAAAGGAGCTTAAGTAGCTGCTAGTGGGTATATAAACTCTTAAAATATTTTTAGAGGGCATTTAAGTAATATTTATAAAAATAATTCAGTACTTTTACTCTGCGTTTCTACTGCCAGGAACTTATCCTGTATATACTTGTAAGTGTACAGAATAGTGTATGTAAGGATGTCATTACAGCATTACTTTTTTTTTTTTAAGATTTTATTTATTTATTTGACAGAAATCACAAGTAGGCAGAGAGGCAGGCAGAGAGAGAGGGGGGAAGCAGGCTCCCTGCTGAGCAGAGCGCCAGATGTGGGGCTTGATCCCAGGCTCCTGAGATCATGACCTGAGCCCAAGGCAGAGGCTTTAACCCACTGAGCCACCCAGGCGCCCCACAGCATTACTTTTAATAGGAAAAAAAAAAAAAACACCTTAGGAACAACATGAATACCATCTTGCACTGATAAAGAATGATGTAATGATAAAGGCCTCCTTAAAACTCTGAGTACTCTTGGGGCACCTGTGTGGCTCAGTCCTTAGATGGCTGCCTTTTGCTCAGGTCATGATCCCAGGGTCCTGGGATAGAGCCCTGGATCTGGCTCCTTTCTAGGCAGGAAGCTGCTTCTCCCTTTCCCACTCCCCCTGTTTGTGTTCCCTCTCGCTATCTCTCTCTGGCAAATAAATAAATAAAATCTTATTTTAAAAAAACCCACAAACTCTGAGTACTCTTATTCTCAGAATGTTTCCTATAGCGTTCTTTTTTAGTCTTTTTTTTTCTTTCTTTTTTTTTTTTTGATGCTGTAGCTTTGCTTATCTCAGAGTGCCTTTTTTGGTTTTGTTTTCTTTTATTCTTTGCATTTTATGTAAACATACAGAAAAGTAAAAAACTAAATCAGATGCCTTTGTCATGACTAGTTTTCTGATTCTTAAAATCAGTAGGGTTTTGATGCTGAAGCGCTCAGCACTCAGTGATATTCTAATTTTCATTGTTCATTTGTCTCATGAGAATCCAATGTAAATCATATAATGGAAAAGTGACATTTTACGTAAGAAGGATTGTTGGCTGTATCCTAGTTATAGTGAAATTCTTGAAATGGAAATACCTGTCACCTTTAATATCTTTAATTTAGTATCTTTAATATCTCTATAATTTTTATTCTTTTAAACAGTTCGTTTCCCTGAAGATCTTGAGAATGACATTAGAACTTTCTTTCCTGAATATACCCATCAACTCTTTGGGGATGAGTAAGTAACTTTGCCCAATCAGTGTGGCCAATAAAATTTTTTTTTTTCTTAATCTAGAAGTCAGACTTTATTTTCTTTGCTGTTTTTTATGTAATTTACTTTAAAATAGACATTAGAATGGCATTTTTGACATTGAGATACCAGTTTACCGTACAATACCTATCACATAGTGCTGTGGATATATTAGCTCATTTAATTCTCACAACGATCTTAGCGATGGCATTATCATTCATTACATTGTACATTGGTGGAATTGAATAGCTGCTTATGGACATATGAATGACCAGATTTCAGATTCAGGCAATCTATGAAGCCCATATTTATAATTACCACTTTTTTTCTTCCTGCTGCTTTGCTATACTGCTCTTAGTACAGAATATGCTCTCCTGAAGCTAGAAAGCTCAAGTTCTCCTATGACAAGTAAATAAGCAGTTAAAATAAATTTATTTATTTATTTATTTTTAAAAGCTTTTATTTATTTATTTGACAGAGAGAGAGAGAGCGCATACAAGCAGGGGGAGCTGCAGGGGGGAGCTGCAGGCAGAGGGAGAGGGAGAAGCAGGCTGCCCCGTAGAGCAGGGAGCCAGATGCAGGGCTTGATCCCAGGACCCCGGGATCATGACCTGAGCCTAAGACAGGCACTTAGCCGACTGAGCCACCCAGGCACTGCAAGAAATTTATTTTTAAAAGCAATGTTAAAGATATGTCCTGGGATATTCAGCACAATTCCTTTATTTCCTATAGCTTTATTACATTATTAGAATAGTTAGTTACCATTTTTTTTTTAAACTTTTGATGCTGAAAAAACTTCTTATTTGCAGAAAGTTTTAAGAATAGTACTCTATGATGGGCACTTGATGTAAGCACTGGGTGTTATAGGCAGCGGATGCATCACTGAACTCTACTTCTGAAACTAATCGTACACTGTATGTTAATTAATTGATTACAAGAAAAAAAAAGAGTAGTACTCTGTATATCCTTCATTTAGATTCACCAGTTAACATTTAGTTCTATTTGCTTTAATCATTCTCTCCTATATAGATATGTTGGTATGTTGTTGAACCATTTCAGTGTTGTTTGCAGATATATCTTGATACCTTACTCCTAAATTCTTTAGTATATATTTCCTAAAAACAAGGACAGTAACCATATAATTACCAAAATTCAGGAAATTTAACAATGCTGTTACTATTTTCTGAGATATAGTCCACATTTCAAATTTTGCCAGTTGGTTTCCAATAATTCTTTTATAACAATTTTCCTCATTTTGGATCCAATGTAGAGTCACATATTGCATTTTATTTTTATTTTTATTATTTTTAAGATTTTATTTTTTATTTGACAGAGAGTACAAGCAGGGGGAGCAATAGGGAGAGGGAGAAGGAGGCTCCCACTAAGCAGAGATCCCAGTGCTGGAACTCCATCCCAGTACTCTAGCTGGGATCATGACCTGAGTCAAAGGCAGACGCTTAACCAACTGAGACACCCAGGCACCCCACATACTGCATTTAGCTGTCATATCCCTTTGGTCTTTAATCTGCAACAGTTCCTCAGCTTTTCTTTGTTTTTCATGACATGGACATTTTCATAGGGTATAGGTTTTTATAAGCCTTCATTTTGCGTTAGTTTGTTTCTTTGTGATGAAATTCAGATAATATACATTTTTGTAGTACCACAACAGAGGTTGTATGTGTCTGTCTCAGTCTGTCACAATCAGATAGTCCATGATATCAATTTGTTCCATTGTTCATTAACTTGGATCACTTAGTTTAGAGGTGTCTGTCAGTTTTCTGCACTATAAGGTTTTTTCTTTTATTATGTAATCTGTGGGGAGATACTCTGAGACTGAAAAGATCCTATTTCCCATCAGACTTTCACCCAGTAGTTTTATTTATTTATTTTTAAGATTTTATTTATTTGACAGAGGGAGAGAGATCATGAGTAGGCAAAGCAGCAGGCAGAGAGAGGAGGGGAAGCAGGTTCCCTACTGAGCAGAGAGCCCGATGCAGGGCTCGATCCTAGGACCCCAAGATTATGACCCGAGCTGAAGGCAGAGGCCCAACCCACTGAGCCACCCAAGCACCCCTCACCCAGTAGTTTTAAATCCGTTGATGATTCTTGCTTGAATCTTTTATTGTGGTGGCAAAATGGTGATTTTCTAACTCTGTCATACTTTCTACATTTATTGGCATTCTCTAAGGAAGAGCTTCTTTTTCCCCTAATTTATTTCTTTGTTTATTTCAGAATAGACTCAAAGATTCTTTTTTAATCCAAGGGGTCATAATCTGCTACTGTTATTAATTACGATGGTCAAATTATCCCATTTCAAACCAGTTTTTGAATCCTTTTGATAAACCATCATCACTTGGGGGACACTTTACTATGAAATACAATAAGATGTTCGAGATTGATCTTCTACTTACTCTACTAGTACTGGAGTTAGCCATTTTCCCGAGGAACTCTGCTTTGTTGTAGTAGGAAAGGGTGTTTTGACATGGTTGACATTTAAAATATTGCCCTCGTGGCTATTGTACTTATGTCTTATTTCAGCATTGTTCACATATTTATTTAATGTGTTTTGAAATTAACAATTTCTCCATGGAACAAATTTCCTCAGAATTTTTCATTATTAATGGATTGGGCATTTTATGTGCTTTTAAATATTAATAATTCTATTTTAGTACATATTGATTCATGCCAAAATTTGAACCTTTTGTATTTTTTTCTTTCGTATTTTAAATGTTTTATTTTATTATAAAGAGAAGAATATTTTCTGTGGGGATTTCTATCATTAAGGAGCTATTTATTTTATTCCTTTCCTCTTCCTGCTATTTAAAATCTCTTCCTTAGGTGCATAGAATCCAGCCTTACAGATTGCTTCTCAGTGGTACTTTGTACATTCATTCTGTTTTACATGTCGTTAAAAATGCTTACATACTCCCCTTCTAAGGTAGACAGGTGACAGTCACATAATCATAACCGTGTATCTTATGACTCAAGTATGACATTGGTCTTGATCTTACTTATCATTGCCACTGCTTTTTATGCACATAACTTTCAGAGTCCTGGAATAGACCCTGCTTATGTTTTATTTTGGTAGCCTGGACAGAAATCTGAAAATGACACTGCTCCTTTCAGGCACTCTTCTTCAGAATTCACTTTAAAAAAAAAAAAAAAAAAGCTTTATTGAGATGTAATTTACCATATAATTCATCTATTTAAAGTATACAATTCAGTAATTTTTAGTATATTGTGTTGTGCAGTCATTACAGTCAATTTCAGAACATTTTGTCATTCCCACCAAAATTCCCATAACCATTAGTAGTCATTCTCTTTTTCCTCCCTTAATCTCCCCAGCCCTAGGAATCACTAACCTACCTTCTGTCTGTATAGCTTTACCTATTCTGGATATTTTAGATGCACATTTTGGAAGACTCTTTTTTAAGCTAGAAAAGAGAATATCAAAGTATAAGTGGATTGAAAGGAGCAGGGCTGGAAAAACAGCAGCTCTAGATCTGCTTTCTGAGTTCATAGGGTGATGTAATTAGATAGGTGCTTCTACCACTTTCAGCAGCTCTGGATGTTGATGATGGAAGCAAGTGGTAAACTGCAGGAAAGACTGGGCCAAAGCTACATCTTAGCTGCTTGCCTAGCAAGGTACCAGTTTCATACCACTTGTGTCTGATTTGAAATGCCTTCTGGTACTAGTAATAGCAGAAGCAGCCACAATGATGTATTACATTTATTACCTAACTTGTATAACATGCTGGTCAACATTATAAGCAGTTTATAGGTATTAACTTGCTCATGTAACCCAAACAATGTCCCTGAGGTAGGTGCTATTATTCTCTCGTATTCTATTTTTTTGAAGATTTTATTTTTATGTAATCTCTCCACCTAAGGTGGGGCTTGAACTCACAACCCTGAGATCAAGAGTCACGTGCTCTACCAGCTGAGCCAGCCAGGTGCCCCTCTCTTATTTTATAAATGAGGAAAGCTGAGGCAGTTTTATTACAAGTACTTGTTTCTAAAATAAGTATGGTAAAATCTTGAAACTACCCATAAAGTTAAACTTGTTTATATAGAGAGCTAATTCTTTGTAATGACTTTGCAAAGAGTCTTTCTGGGGTCTCAGATTACTGATCTTTTTCTCCTTTTCAGTGAAACTGCTTTTGGTTACAAGGGTTTGAAGATCCTGTTATACTATATTGCTGGTAGCCTGTCAACAATGTTTCGTGTTGAATATGCATCTAAAGTTGATGAGAATTTTGACTGTGTAGAGGTAAGAACAATAATAAATTTATCTTTAACTCTGCTTTCCATTTGAGTATAAAACAGGTTTTAAAATTTAAAGGCTTGAGGGAGGAGGGAAACTGTTATATAGTAGCTTTAAAACCACGGATTGGGGGCGCTTGGGTGGCTCAGTGGGTTAAAGCCTCTGCCTTCGGCTCAGGTCGTGATCCCAGAGTCCTGGGATCGAGCCCCGCATCCGGCTCTCTGCTTAGCAGGGAGCCTGCTTCCCCTCCTCTCTCTGCCTGCCTCTCTGCCTACTTGTGATCTCTGTCAAATAAATAAATAAAATCTTTAAAAAAAATAAAAATAAAACCACGGATTGTCTTTAGTTATGGAGGTAATTGCCTTCCTGTCACTACAGTTAACCTTTGATCACGATCCTTAGCCTGATCTATTTCCTGAGTGGACCTTCTCTAAAAACCCTTTACTTTTATGATCAGAGTTGTATTTTGTTTACCAACTTCTGTTTTTTTATTGTGGATATGAAAATTACTTCACTTCCTAGAAGTTAAATAAGACAGAAGACAATAGCTAAATTTTCTACTTTTTCTTCACATAGAATGTGCCCATTTAAATTTCTCTTGATAATTTCTGATTCCACAGATTTTACTAATATATTTCCTTAAGAATATGGGCATATAAGCTGATGACATAAAACTTTGAAACAAATGAACCAAAAGAGAGTGAAGGCAAAGAGAGGCATTAAAGAGAATGCATCCAGGGCAGGCCGAATTAACCACTACTCAGGAAACAGAGGCAGAATGATGTGACCACAAGCCAAGAAGTACTGGTAGCCCCAGAATTAGAAGAACCACGGAAAAGACTCCACTGGAGTCTCTGGGGAGAGTGTGGCCCTGTTGACACTTTGATTTTAGTACAGTGATAGTGATTTTAGACTTTGCCTCTAGGCTGTGAGAGAATAAATCTCTGTTGTTTTAAGCCTCCAAGTTTATGGTAGTTTGTTACAGCAGCCATAGAAACTAATAAAGATTTTCATACCAGGAAGTGGTTTGCTACTGAAACAAATAACTGAAACTGTAGAAATGTCTTTGGAAATGGGTTATGGATACAAACTTGAAGAACTTTGAGGCACATGATAGAAGAAGCGTAGACTCCCTTGAATAGACGATTGGTAGAAATATGGACTTTAAAGTCATTGCTGGTCAAGGCTCAGAATAAAGTTAGGAGCATGGGAGAGAAAACTTGTATTCTGAGGGAATAATGTACCATCACAAATAGTATGTTGGTAGAAATAGGAATGTTGAAGAAGTTAAAGGGAAATGAAGATATTATTAGAAAATGAGGAAAGGGGATATTTGTTATATAGTGCCAGGAAGCCTAGCTGAATTGTATCCTACATTTATATAGAAAGGAAAAGATGTAAGCAGTGAAGTTGGATATTTAGCTGAGGAGATGTCCAAACAAAGTATTTAAGTTGTGGCCTGGTTATAGTAAATAACCGGTAAATGTAAATGTAAGAGGAAAGGGATAGATTGTGGGAAGAACTGTAAAGCAAAAAAGATCCAGGACTTAATTTGGGAGATTCTCAGTCTATTCAGGTAGCAGAAGACACAGAAATTAGGAGACTGATTGTCAGGAAATGTGCTTTGGAAAGAAATCCAAGAGCATGGCTAGATAACCTTTTGTTCTTTCTGAAGAGATTATGCACAGGACTCATGGATCTCCTCAGTAACTCAGTAAAAACCAGAAATAGAGATTGAATAAAGTCCTTTGTAGGACCATCTTATCTAATGATGTGAATCCTCTTGGCAAATACAGGTGACCTAGAAGAGTTTTAAGAATGTTCTGTCAGCAGAAACACTGCCAATTTGAACTGACAGGTTGAGGAAAGGCTAATGAACTTCCAATATTTTATAGGTAGGAAATGGGCTGATTGTACTACTCAGCTACAAACATGTGCTTCCCTTCAAGAAAAAGGAATAATGGCCCAGAAGGTAGAGCCACAGGCCACAGTATTGTCAGGTTTTGAAAACTAATGGAATTTGACCTTCTGAATTTTGAAATTGCTTGGTTCCAGTGACTCCTTTTTTCCTACAGTTTTCTCCCCTTTGGAGTGGGAAACTCCATAATTTATCCTGTGCCTGTCCCACTACTGTATTTTAGAAGTGGTAACTTGTTTTCTAGTTTTACAGGTGGAAAAGAATTTTGCCCCATGGTGTATATCATACCCAGAGTCTGTTTGAATAACTTAGATAATGACATTTTGGACTTGAGCTGATGATGGAGTGATTGAAACTTTTGGGGATGTTGGGATGGGGTGATTGTATTTTGCATGTTTGGGATAGACACGAATCTCTGAGGGATCTGAAGAAAGTTATGTTTTTTAGAGTTGTTCTGTTTCTGGGCATTCCTATTTGAAGGCATTAAAACTTTTTCTTTTAAGGTTTTATTTAAATTCCAGTTAGTTAACATACACTGCAGTATTAGTTTCCAGTGTATAATATAGTGATTCAGTAATGCCGTACATCACCAATGTTCATCACAGCAAGTGTACTACTCTTTAATCCCATCACCTATTTAACCTGTCCCCCTACCCACTTCCCTTCAAGGCACTGAAACTTTTCATCAAGAATTACTTCAGAATTGATTTTTTTTAACGAAATGCCATTTTGTCACTGAATCACATTTATAAAGTTGAAAATTGCATTCTTAGAGTAAAATCTCTTGTCATTTGAATTTAAAAATCCAGGAAGTTTTATCAGATCAGATCTGCTATATTGAGAATACTGTGCTTCACGTAACTAAGCAAAGATCTTATGTATCACTGCATTCTGGATATCCTAACTCCCTTCTGTACAAGTAGCAATTCCTAACACATTAACAATTAAACTTTTTCAAGGCTTTAAACTGACTTTAAACTTCTGACTTAAATCTTTTGCCAACCTCATGCCCCAAAACTTCTCGTGACTTGGGAAAGGTTGATTTTGGGGTTTTTTTGGGTTTTGTTGTTCTTTGTTGTTGTTGTTGTTGTTGTTGTTAATTTTTAAAATTGTGTTTCATTGTAAGGACTTGCCCAAATTCACATGATGCTAGATAAACTAGCATGTAAAATAGGCTTATTGAAGTGGAGTTTTTTTCCTAGTCATATGTTTCTTATTAGATTATTAAATTCTCAAGCCCAGCTAGATACTCTTATTAAAAATGCAGGTAGTAGTTTCCCTAGTGTTGTACAAAATTTACTGTTGTTTGAAGGTTTTGGTGTCTTTTTTTTTTTTTATGTTCCAGCTGATAGTGCTGAATTGATTTCTTCCAAAGGAACTATTGACTTAGTTATTGGTAAATCTTTCAAATACTATTTGCAGTGAAAATAGCTATGTATTTGCATTGACTTCTAATTGCTCCATTCTTGAAAACCAGGTTTTTCCATTTAGAAGTACTGGGTTATGAGTAAGGAATCAATCTTTTATAATGTCTTCTTGTGGGATTATTTGCTTCATGGTCGAAGATCATTTATTTAAATTACATGTTCAAGCAAAGACTTTTTTCCCCCCTTATAAAAAAAGAATGGGTAATGGATGTGGAGGGAATGGGCTTGCCTCTTCTATCTCAGTTTGCATTGAGAATGTTCATTCCACAGTGCCTCTGTGTTCTTGATGCCAGGGAAAGAATGGCAAGAAAACAAAATCATTCCTCTTATGGGAATGAGCTAGAAGGAACAGTCAGTAAACAAATAGTAAGTAATGTTACGAAGAAACACTTTGCTGGTTCCTTCATAGAATGAAGAGGAGTCAATGTAATGTAATAACCTGAGGGAAGAGCCTAGTAACAAAGACCCTGAAAGGAGAACACTCAGAAATATCTGTTGTTAAATGATTATGGTAATGGAGAGAAGGGTAGGAGATGGTTGAAGGGGTTGGCAAAACTAGATCTTGTCAGGTAAAGAATAGTTGACAGCCTTTAGAGGTTTTAAGTAGGTAAGAGTCATATGATGATCTATATTTTCAAAAGATTTTTTGGGGAGGCGCTTGGGTGGCTCAGTCGTTAAGTTCTGCCTTCAGCTCAGGTGATGATCTCAGGGTCCTGGGATCGAACCCCACGTCGGGTTCCCCCGTTTAGCGGGCAGCCTGCTTCTGCCGCTCCCATTCCCCCTGCTTGTGTTCCCTCTCTTGCTGTCTCTCTCTGTCAAATAAATAAATAAAATCTTTTAAAGCTGGAGGGGGGGGGGTTGGCTGCTCTGCAGAGAATACACTGCAGGGGGAAAGAGTAAAAGAAGGGAGACCAGAATGTTGCAGTGTTACAGGCAACACTACATTACATTTAGTTGGCTGTCTGGGGATATATTTTGAAGATAGAGCCAGTAGGATTTACTTTTGAATTAAATTTAATGAGATGGAAAAGAGAAACAAGGAGGATCCTATTGCTTAACTTTAATAATAGTACTATTAACTGAGTTAAGAAAGATTGGAGAAGTAGGTCTAAATAGGAAAAGAACATCAAGATTTTTGTTTTAGATATGTTATATTTGAGACTATTATATATCATATTTGAGTTTTCACAGACTATAATATGTAGTAGTATTTTTGTGTATGAAAGATAAACTCTTTTAGGTGAGGTGGTTAGAAACCATGGCATATCAGTTTAGAAGTTAATTTGCTTATTAAAATTTTGCCATTACATTAATCTTTCATTATCCATTTTTCTTTTCAAAGCTGAGTTCTCCAGTTCCGTGTGAAAGTTTTTAGTCACAATTGAGAAGCTCATAAAACATCCCCACTAGCCATCATCTTTAAAGGCAACATAATTATTCTGAATTTTACTACAATAAACTTTATTGTTCAGACACTGTTGGTTTGTTCCTCTTATGGTTGTCTCTGACCTTTGCTTTTACTGATACCTCCTGACCTCTCTTTAATTGAAGTAGAATTGGCATACAGTATCCTTTTAGTTTTTAGGTATATATTATAGTGATTCCATTTTTTGTTGTTGTTGTTTTAGTATCTTTATACATTGTGAGTAATTCCCATGGCA